GTTTGGATTTGGGATCTTTTTTGGGGGGAGGCCGCCCCCCCCCCCCCGAGGTCAATGGTTTAAGGACTAGGGCAGGCACGAATAAGAGAACACCCCCCCCCCCCCCCCCCGAGAGAAAAAAAAATCTTCGAAATAATCACGCCGTAAGACTCAGCCTTAGATGCAGATACATACATAGATGGATTCGTTGGGTCATCCTTCGAAAATAGAAAACTCCCCCGACTATTTACCGGTTCGAGATATAATCACAGCAGTCAGTCCAAGGGGCTGGGTAAAAGTCTTTCCAGAAGTGAATGGGGGGAATCCAGCACGATCTGCTGCATGTGCAGACCATGCACTTTCGCTGCTGCGTTCATTGAAAAGCTGAGAAGACGGAAACCCTGCATCATGTAAAATGTTGAGAAACCAAAGGTTCTTCAACACGATGGATGGTAGAATATCAAATCACGCGGGAGAAGAGGTTGTTTGTTCACCTATGTACACTATGCAGCGGTATACCGACCCCCACCGCGGTTCCCCCATGGGACACGGACGCGGGGTGTGTGCAGCAGTAGCAGTGACTTCGTGCGCATATAACCTCTCCTAATGACAAAAAAGTTGGCTCTACAAGGCTCTACGCAATACATTCAAGTACATAAAAGTACTACGATTGTAACAACACGGCTTGGAAGACGGGAAAAAAAAGCAGTGCTTCCAACTTTGTCCTCACTTACCGACCTCCACCACGGTTCCCCCATGGGACACGGACGTGGGTGTGTGTGCAGCAGCAGTATAGCAGCAGTGACTTCGTGCCCATGAAAGCTCTCCTCTCACGGACAAAAAAGTTGGCTCTACAAGGCTCAATACATCCACGCGTACATGTACATATTGTAGGTACATAGAGAGCTGGAAGACGGCAAAAAAAAGCAATGCTTCCAATTTTTGTCTTCACTTACCGGAGCGACATATTCTCGGGCGTCAGCGGGAGGTCTTCCATCGAGCCGTCTTCCGCGCCCAACGCAGGCTCCCTCTCCCCCGGAAGCAGGAGCGCCTTCGACCGCTTCCGAAGCGCCTTGCCCCTCACGACCCTGAGCCTGGGCGTGTGGTGGTCCCCGTTCCTGCCCCTGGCGGTAAGGCAGTGGGCGAGGCTAGCGCTCGCCGCGCACGCCGAGCAGGGGATGAGCTGCAGGTGGATTACTATCTGCTCCTCCTCCTCCTCCTCCTCCGTTGCTCCTCCTGCTGCTGCTTCCGATTGATCCGCGGCAGCGGGGGGCACGCCGCCGGTGCTTACTTCGTTGGACGCTGGTTGGTCCTGATCCTGATCCTGATCCTGCTGCTGCTGATCCCGTTGCGCTTTCTCGTGGATGTCGCTCTCGCTCTCGCTGCCGCCGGTGCTGGCGGCTGTAGGCGAGGAGGACGGCTTCGTGTTGTAGAGCGAGTGTCGAGGCAGCGGACGCAGCTGCTGCTGCTGACTTACGACGCCTGCTGCTGGGGTTCCCGCAGCAGCAGCACCAGCAGCAGCAGCAGCAGCAGCGCCCGCCGCCGTTGCTTGTCGCTCCTCGCCAGCGCCATCCGAGCTCTTTTCCGACATCTCGGTCGGAAGCGTTCAGGCACGCACGAGCGTAACCGCACTGCTTTTTGTTCCAGCCGTCAACGAAGCAAGAGTGCTCGACAAAAAGGAGGGGGCAAACGACGACGACGCTGTCTCTCTTCCCGTCTTAGGGCGCGCTTATACTTGTCTGTCTAACCTCGTTCTCCGTCTTCTATTGCCTCGTCCCTGGCCGATTCTTATCGAAGCTGTTAGGCTTGTCCCTCTCCCTCTCACGGTCTCTTCGTGTGGTGCTTCCTCTCTCAGCTCTCTCTCTTCTTTGTGGTCGTAGCTTTTTGTCTGACCAGAGTGCTGACGTGACTTCAGACAGAGTCGTTCGTTCTGTGTAGGGGGCCCGATAGATCGGATAATGGACATGTGCATACATGGGTTTACTCACAGGCGACCGTCAAACTACGGAATGCCCCAACAGTCTGCGGAGCAAGCACGCAGCACAGCAGTGCAGCAGTGCTCTTCTATATCTATCCTGTCTATCCTCGTTCACACGAAGCTTTAAGATGATGGCGAAGACTCTCCTGTGCGGTCTCGTGACCCTCCTCCCGGCTGCGCTCGGTTTCGTCATGCCGACCGCCTCCAGCAGCGCCTTTGCAAGAGGAAGCGGGGTCGCTCATGTTTCGGCGACCACCGCACCATCGGCGGTCAGCAGGCCCACCATGGCCATGGAGCGCTCGTACATCATGATCAAGCCGGACGGCGTACAGCGAGGGTGAGAGCCGTAGGCAGGTCGTGTAGAGGAGATGCTGCTGAAAAATTCGGTCGTGTTTGAGTCTCTCGCAAATCTCTACACGTTGCAGTGCCGTTGTGGTACAACGTCAACCGGTCGTTTGCTGCACAGCAACCAGCGCAGCATTTGCGTCCATGTTTGCACACCAGATCTCTGGCTGTGTGTGCCATGGTGCCATGCTCCCTCTCTTCCCCTCTCTCTGCAACTGCTGTAAACTATGTCTACATCCAACGTCATGTAATTCGTCACCTATATATATCTACGATTTTTGGGATATCACCATTGTCGTGCGGCTGACTCTGACGCAACCGTGTAAATCGTTGCCGCGTGTGCGCGCGGATCGCACAGCTCTGTTGCTGCTGTGGTGTGCGCATGACGCCGGTGGTACAATCTCTTGCGTGTTAGGATCTTACCATATACACCGCAGTTAATGTGCTCAGTGCTCAGCGGGAAATGCGCATCTTGCACCCCATCCAAGTCAGTCCGAGGTTCTATTGTCAGAGAGACATGTTACCATGTACTTCTCGCTGCGAAGGAGAGATTCGATGATTTATCGTCCAACTTGTGCATACTTCGTATGTATGTACCAAGCTCTTGGCAGGATCGCGCGCTATTCGTTTTGTCACCGCCGTACGAAAGCCTTGGGGCACACTCAAACCGCCTAGTAGGATGACGAATCGTCGCGCTAGCGCTCGCTTTGCTGTCAGCAGTTGGTGGCGCAAGGCGTGGCGTCTATTGCACCGATAATGTTATCCACTACCAGCGGACAACAACAAAAACATCATTCTGCTATATAGAGGGTAGATATTTCTTGTGTGTGTGTTGTGTATTCTGATAAGCTGTTGATCATCTCAGCCCGTATTTCACGTTGTCTCCCACGGGCGGGATGACGACCAAACCCAGCAGCAAACGCGCGGCCGAAGCCTCCGCTCTAGAATTTCGTTCTTGTAGTACCGCACAAAATCGCGTGCTGAACTCGTGCGTTGTCGCGAGAAAACTATTTATTACATTATTACCGTCCTCCACGACCTACAGCAGTATCTTGATACCCTTGTGGTGCTCTCCCTTCTTCGCTGCCGTGGCCACAGCCTTGTCGGAAAGATCATCACTCGGTTCGAAGAGCGCGGCTACAAGCTGGCGGGTCTCAAGCTCAAGCAGGCCGACGAGGCCCTGCTCAAGAAGCACTACAAGTGAGGACTTGGGGTGAATACTGCTGTATTTTATATTTCACGTGGGGTGGGGACGTTGTCGAAACGTCACTCGTGTGCCCGCGCTGTTTTCAAGGGACACGGCAGTAACGTTGTCGTTGGCTCTGACTCCCTCGGAGAAAGGAGAACCCGCTTGTAGTGTTGGAGGTCCAGGAATTTAGCCCAAGTACGGTACAGCGCAAGAAGGCCATCATCGCGTTTTCACATATCGCAATCTCACCGCTGGCCTGACTGTAAGAATGCGGTCGCATTTTAATTTAGCGTACTGCAAGTCTCACCCGTGGCCTGATCTGACATGTGTGGGATCCGACACCTCTTTACTTGGAAGCAATTTGGCTGCCGGTCGATTTTTTAGCGAGCATTGGAAAAAAAAACGATCAATTCATCGTTGCCCTACTTGTGAGACATCAGTCGCGGCCACGACGCGTGCAGCAAAAGGCGGTGGCTGCATCGGCCCAAAATAGTGCATGCTTAGCTATGTACATAGATCGGAAGGCCAAGTAGCACCCGAATCTCGGAGGCGGCTCTATCTTCACGTAGGAGAGAGGAGGAAACAGCAGTGTCCCTTCGTCAAGAACGACATGACAGCGAAAACATCGAGTGCCCCCCAACCCTCCAATCAAACGCATGGCACATCTGGTTTGGCACAACACACGCGAGGACGATGACACTATAATACCAGCCTCTGCTTCATTGTGAAACGTAGTCTTGGCGGATGAAAACTCGGCATACAGCAGCATCGCCCCGTCCCGGCATCTTAGGGATGCGAGGTCAACGGTCTAACGACTAAATACAGCATGCGTTTACATGCGTACCCCCCCCCCCTAACGTAGGGACCTCGTCGACAAGCCCTTCTTCCCGAAGCTGCTGGCCTACATGATCTCGGGGCCGGTGGTCTGCATGGCCTGGGAGGGCAAGGATGTGGTGGCGATGGGACGCAAGATGCTGGGAGAGACCAACCCGCTGGCGAGCGCACCGGGGACCATCCGTGGAGACTTCTGCTTGGAGGTGATGACGTGACGGGACCAGTAGTGGCAGTAGCAGCAGCTGCAGCCGCCTCGCGAGACGCTCTTAGGCGGCTTGCTGCGGTTTCGAGCTGTAGACTGTGTACCGTTGTCTGGTAGAAGACTCGAGGGGCAACCCCACGAAGGGATATGCCGATTTACTAAGAATATCTTCGGTGCCTTCGGTGGTAAACTCAGCGGTCGTAACGTCGTACATGTCAGCACATCGACTACAACGCAATCGGTGTGAACCGGCAGTGGTGATGGCGGTGGTGACGAATGGAAGGGGATAAATATCCGTGGTTTGCATAGAGGATTCCGTAGCAACGGCTTATATTTGGGGAAGGGGGGTCAAGGCAGTTTCTGTGGATGTGGATGCTTTTTTTCTCATCTATTCTAAACGCCAGTCTGCGCCATTCGGTGTGTGTTTGTTTGGTCCACCAGCCGGGGTCAGACAGGAGGAAGATAAGCACACTTTTGCGTTTTACTTTTGTGCTGTTTTACGCTGTTTTAGCCCTTGGGGGTAGGGAACAAGAGAGTCGACACGGCTTCTCACCCAGGTTTACGAAAACACGTCTCTACCTCTCTCTTAACGCGTCTGCCTCTGCCGCTCGCAGCCGCTCAAAATGATATTATTAGTGTTTCGTGTGGATGTGCACCTGTTCTTTTGTGTCTTGGCTCTCCCGTTTGCGAGTTTTTCGCGCTGTCATCGTCCTCGAAAAGCGCCCGCCCCCCCGTGATATTCTTGGGTATACTTGACTCTCGCTCAAAGATTCCCTTAACAGAAACACTGACGGGTTCATTTGCTTGAATCTCATTTACACTTAGGTAGAGCCATAGTTTTTGATGCACTCTACCTGTCCCCCCCCCCCGCCCCTCCGGCTAATTCTTGGTACTGTAGAAACGATCACCCGCATATTCTCCATGGCCGTGTAACGAAACGCACTATCAGTGCGTCGCCTCGAAACGGGAGGTTG